TATGCAAAAGGAATAGATTAGCTACCTTTGGAGGTTGAAGAAACAACACAAGACAAGTGTTGGGTTTTGTGTTCACTTAAAAGTGGAGAGACGAGGAAGTTTGTCCCTCAGATAGTAAAGCCTTGCTCTTCTCACTTTCCTGTGACTTACCACTTTTATCTCCTTGATGTTTGGAGAGTATCTGTTCAAGATCAAAACAAATCAGATACATAATACTTCTAAAAGCCACTTCATTGTAGATTCAGCCAATGCTTACTAAGTTCATCGAGACTGTCACGATATGGTAATGCCTAGAGTGGTGTAAAGACTAAAGATCGATATTGTTTCTCCAGTATAAGCATGGATCAAGTTAATCCACAATTTGGTGACCGACCTATCATGCTAAAACTTCTACCATAAACGTGAATGATAGTTCCTATATTTTCATACTTGCAGTGGTATTCATACACCATAAAGATACGACTCAGAATCCAATTTCTCAGAAAAGGAAGAGCAAGATAACAATAGTCGACTATCAAGAGCCAAGAAAACTGTTTATGATTTGTTTCAGAGTTCCTATTCTCCCAAACCCAAAAGGCTCCAAACCAACCACATGGTCAAAGACACTTAAACTCTGAAGTGAACCCAACCACTCCTAACTATACTTTATACCAGAGTAAGTGTGCGATAATTGGAGACTTCAGTACGATACTTACATAGGAAAGACGATTTCAACACCAATGCCTGCAATTATTCTTCGGATACGAATAGTAGTGTGGATGCCTGCATTTTGTCTAGACATCACTATGCCTTTGTAGATTGATAACCTACGTCTGTTCTCAGGAACTTCCTGTAAAATCAAACCCCACCATGTCAAAAAAAATCTTGCAGTTTGATACACAATGGCTTCAGATTATACAGAGACTAGGACTCACCAGTTTGATTTCTACAATATCCCCTGTCCTAATTTCAGGAACCGGTCTTACCTTCTCTTGAACCTCAATAGCTTTCTGGTTCAGTATCTATAGCAACAAAAGTAAATCAGCAATGTATAATCAGATCAACAAACTCTGCACATATTCAAGAAAACCCATTTTATATAAACGAAGTTTCCAATACCAGACAAAACCCTAGCTGAATCTTACTGAAGCGAATTTGAAATTAACTTACTCCCATGATATCTCCGAGCTTGACCCTCGGCTTCCTCGGAGATTTAGCTTCTTCCGCCACAGTGGCTTCAACATCTTCTCCAGTTTCAGCAACATTCTCCACAACTGCCTCAGTTTCACCTTCACTGCTCTCTTCAGCTTTAACGATAAACTCCTTTCTCTTCCTAGTATCGATGAAATTCGAGCCGGAATGATTCAGAAAACCCCTAGAAAGTGAAAGACGAGATGCTCGTGGTAGAAATGAAGAAACCCCTAAATTGTTCGAGGATAAAGTAGGGATTCTCGGTATCATGTGCAATGCCTGCTTCACGAAAGAAGGAAAATTAAATCTGGGTAAGTAAAGTAAATACAGAATTTAAAAAGAAAAAAAAAAGCATAATATGAAATCGTCTCAGTGACCTGAGGAAGAAGAAGATGAGAATTCGTCGCCATGTTTGCACAACCCAACATTTCGGAGAAGCAGAGTATAAATGTGAAGCTTATCGGCTTCATGGCAATGTGAAAGATCTTATCCGTGCGTGCAATTTAACTTATGGGCCAGTACTAACTTTTAATGGGCCTAGACAATGAGGCCCATATTTAATTGAAAATTTACAGCAAGAAGAAACAAAAGTTTAGTTACAAACAAAAGTATGTTTATGGGCCTTTATAATAAGTACTTTGGACTTTCTTAAATTGTAACTGACTTTGAAATTGTTTATAAGTCTCTCTACCTATTAGTAATTCTACTCATTTTTGTGATTCATTGGTAACGTTGACCACATTATTAAAGAGTATATAGTTTTGTAGTAGTTATTATTCAAACCATTTAACGAGATCAAAATGGTATATTATACTTTTAGTATTTTATCCATGCGGTCTGGATTACAATCAAACGGCCCTGAGTTGTCAATATAAGTTTGCGTTGTATATTCAAGTCGTCTAAGACATGTTCACGTTATCATTGACTTACACCACAAGCGACGAGAAGCTTAAAATTCAATTTAATAATATACCCGAAAGAAATTAATCAAATGTTCCATCTTTCTTTGTCTATACCTAAAAGCTTCTTTTCAAATAAATAAAAAAGCTTAATAATCAATATCTTAAAAGTTAAAACAAAGTAGATTCGAATTTTGATCTTCTAAATTTAGTTATACTCCGATTGTATAGAATCAAAAAAAAAATTGATTGATTCTTTTGTCCTCCACGCATCTCTCTTGAGTTGGCTTTGCCACGTCAGCATTTAAATGTCCAAAAGAGTGGGGCCCA